TTATGCATACTGTGAAATTTTCAGGTTGATCCGTTAAATAGTTTGTCAGAAACGGCTAATTAACTCTCATCATGAAAAGCCCTGTATATACAAATGGAACATAAATATGAAAAGGAACAAAGTTTGATCACCCTGTACATGAACAGAAATGCAGTTCTCTAAGCAGAAATCACGTGACAAAGAGAGGGATATATAAGAAATGTAAAAAATTTAGTATAAAATTATAATCAAACAGACAGGATTTGTACAATACTAGCAATACAAAAAAAGTATCTGTTGTAGGAAATTGGAAGAAACATAATATAATCATTATAATTAATTGGAAATAATGAAATGTTTGAAAAGAAGAGTTGTAAACAGCTTCCTCAGGAAGGAAGGAATGATCTCTGACGGAATTCGATTTTTAATTATCAGAAATCATCGACTTTATGTTGATGATAGACACTACCTTGCACTGACGAATGGCCAAACCGCCCGAAACCGGTCTGTAAGTATGTTCCAATAATTGAAAATCTATTGCGGCAGTTATATCGCCAACAGCATATGCAGGAATATCTTCAGTGAAGAATCCTGCACTGACACCTGTCGGATATAATCCAACGCTCTTCGTGGTATTAGCCAGGGGGTAATTGTTTTCTGAGAGGTGTCAGTCCATTAACCTACAGTGTAGGGAGTTGAGGCTGGCCTGAACAAATTATTCCTTTAGATGATTTGATTTATAGTCAGTCTTCAAGTATGCCCACTGACTACATATGAAACGAGATGTTATTCAAATGTTTGTCAACAAGAGGATTCTTTCCCAAGCCTAAAGAGAGAAGCGACGCTAAGCTTAATATTCTCTAACCATACGAAGACAGTCCGATAACTAAACGTGAGATACATGATACCCTAAAATTAATAAAAAATAAAAAGTCATCAGGCGTTGATGATCTATCTATGAGTACTATTAAGAGCATAATAGATGCTATAATCGACCCACTCACTTATCTTTTCAATCAATCATTCATCCAAGGATATTTTCCTGATGAATTCAAAAAAGCTCTAATTTTAGCGTTGTTTAAAAAAGGTAGTAGAGACGAAATAGATAACTACAGACAAAATTCTCTGCTTTGTGAACTTTCCAAACTATATGAGAAATTAGTGGCTAGCAGAATTATCAGCTATCTGGAAAGTAATACCCTGCTATCAAACTGCCAACGCGGTTTTAGGAAAAATCATTCTATTGAAACAGCTAGCTATTGTTTTCTCAATCATATTTATGAAAAACTTGATAAAAATGATTTTATTATCAGTGTGTTTTTTGACCTGTCAAAAGCATTTGACACGGTATCAACTAATTTTGTGATGACCAAATTAAGTGTGCTTGGTTTGCCTAATAACATACTACTATGGTTTAAGTCTTACTTGAGTGGTCGTAGCATAATTGTAAAGCAAATAAATTCAATGTCTAATGAACGCGAGGTTAGATTGGGGGTTCCCCAAGCCTCTGTTCTTGGTCCCCTATTGTTTTTAATTTTTGTCAATGATCTGTCGGAATATATGAGTGATTGCTATTTAACTATGTTCGCTGACGACACCACCATTACACTCGCTGGACCTACTACAGATAATTTGCTAACAAGAGTTAGACTGATTATAGACCAGTTCACAAGCTGGTGTGATCGTAATCGTCTAGTTCTGAATACCTCAAAGTCGGTATCGATGAGATTTTATAATAGAAGTAGGGGTACCATAAGTGAATTAGCTCAGTGCGATAATATCAATGCAGCAAACGAAGTTAAATTTTTAGGAACAATTTTGAATGAAACATTAAGTTGGGATCAACACATCGATAGTGTCTGTAAAAAACTAAATAAAGCATATTTTGCGATCAAGCAAATGAAAAACTGTGTTGACCAACAAGGTCTATTGCCAATCTATTTCGCTATGGCTTATTCCCATATTTCACTCAATATAATGTCTTGGGGTTCTGGTAGATATTTGTCAGAATGCAACTATTATCGGCACCATCAATTTATCTGTTCAAATGTGTTAATTTTGCGAGAAAAAATCTGTCCACTTTTGCAACCAATGCATCATCCCACAATCATAACACAAAACCAGGTATTTACACCAACAATATCTAAAGTTCAAACTAGTCCACTAGTCCCACTGATCTATCAGAGGGACATATTGGGCGCGTTTGAGAAACCGTATCAGGTTTACTCAATTTATATAGATTTTTCAAAGGCGTTTGATAGAGTTAATGATGATGATATAGTTAATCATTGCTTCAAAGATTAGAATTCTTTGGTTTTGAGGATAGTGTTTTGGATTGGATAGGCAGCTTCCTTACAGGTAGAATTCAGTGGTTGAAAATTATTAATTACATATCACATACAATTGAAGCCTGTTCTGGTGTTCCCCAGGGTAGTCACTGTCGACCATTACTTTTCAATATCTTTATTAATGATCGTATTGCACATATTACTGGCTCAGAGGGATTATTTGTTGATGATCTCAAGCTATAACGTGTGATTGAATAATATGTTGATTGTCTGAAACTTCAAGATGATTTGAACCATTTATAATCAATTGGTGTGAAAATAACTGCTTGGAACTAAATCTTGACAAATGTCTAGTCATATATTTCAATTGTTCTCACTGCATAAACTCTTTGCCCTTGAACCAAGTTGATGAAGTTGAAGATCTTGGTGTTATATTTGATAGAAAGTTGTAATTCTCATCCCTTTATAATAAAATAATTTTGAAATCACTTAAACTTTTTGGATATGTAGGTAGGATTGCTAAAGACTTATAGGCAAGCTCATTGAAAATTCTGTATTCTTCATTAATTAGGTTAAGTATGCATCCATTGTGTGGTGTCCCTCTTACTTAGTGTACAAAAAATCACTGGAAAAGGTCCAAAATGAATTTTTGCCTAGTGTCTACAAAATGGGTGTTCAAATTGACCAGCGAAGTAACTACGCCGAAATTCTTTCTATACCAAATCTAACCACATTGAAAAACAGGAGGATTCATACTGGCTCAATATTTCTATTCAAGTTATTGTCAGACCAAATCAATTGCTCAGAACTTCTCTCTTTGGTTGGCCTGAGAATCAAGCAAAGAGTAACAAAGGACGATAGACCTTTTTTCGTTGAGAACTCACATTTTACTGATTATGAATTTAATAGTCCACTCCACTGTCAAGAATGTTAAGGTAAGCTAATGCATCAGAACTCAGTTTCTTTACTTACTCTTTGGAGGTCTTCAAAAAGTCTGCTGTCAATTATGTATTTAGTCTATATACGTATGCCTTGTATGTATGTTAGTTTTTAGTGCTGGAGTTAATTATAATTGTTTTATTTAGTTTTTAGGTTGCTTTTTAATTTATATATTTCAATATTCGTATGAACTTTGTAACTGTTTTTGAATTGAAGTATATTTTAAACATGCATATTTTACAACATTGTAACTTAGGGTTTATAGGAATGTAGGCTTTCACGGCTGGCGTCAATGTTTCAGTTGGTTTCCAGATTTTTGCCGTGGTCTTCTATGATTACAATCTCCAAACGTTGCAACTACGACAGTCCTCTTCAGTGATACTCTCCAAACATTTCAACTGCAACTGCGGCAATCATCTTCAGTGGCGTGGTCGAAGCACTTTTCTTGACATATCCACTGAAAATTTCCAGAGTACTTTGACCACGTAGATGACTGCCGCAGTTGCAATTGAAATTTTTGGAGATTGTAAACAAAGAACACTACGGCAAAACCTTGAAACCAACCAAAACAAATATGTTTTTGTTTCAAATCAAAAAAATTTACAACTTATCCGCACCTGTATAATAAGAAATGCTTTTTTTTAAGTCAAATTGGCATAGTGTGCAGGTATGTTTTTTTTATATCTGAATGTTAAACAATCAACGATTTATTCTTGTGAATTAGTCTCAGGTCAATAAATGAATGAAATTAAATGTTGAATTTGTCTGATGATCAATGAATTGTGCATATTCACATGATTGTTGCTGGTATTAAGTTTTGACGACTGGGTCGTTTGCGGAAATAAAAAATTGCAAGAACTCAACTCATACAACATATTTCAGATATCAAGTTTCATAATGAGATACTACAGTGTAAGTCCATTTCTGAACTATTATCCCAGACTGAATCTTAGATGAAATGATTTCATAAAAGCCAATCAAAAACCTCATTAAAAATTGGTATAAAAATTTCACACCAGAAGCAGATCTGAATTGATACAAAACTCATCTAAAAAAAAATACTTTTCAATCAACATTCAATTGCCTAGTAAGCACTTTTTTGACAAAAAAATTATCTTTCCTAAAAATGTACTCCTGTCAATCCAAACTTTTTTTAATAATGAGTTTTTACTTCATTAATCTTCACTTCATACATCCATAAAGAAATAAAAGTTTAAAATGTTTAAATATGTTTACCTGTTCCACAAGCAACTATTCTGTTAGCCAGTCCCCATTCAAATGCTTCCTGTGCACTGAGAGATCTACCAGTAACAACCATATCCAAGGCCCTGGATAAACCAATCAAAGCTTGTAATCTAACTGTTGCACCATCAGTTAAAGGTACACCTAGAAAAATGAATGAATATTTTCCAATACTTCTGATTTTCTGAATATTTACCAAATCTTCTCCCAAATAAACCCATTACTGCCGTTTCTTCCATAACTCTCATATCACACATTAATGCAAGTTCTAAGCCTCCAGCTACCGCATAGCCATTTACGGCTGCTATCATCAGTTTTTTCACAAATTTTGAAATACTCTACATTCAACATTGTGTATTATTATTATTATTGATATAGACTAATTTTAATTAACTTACCATAAAACCATGTTCCAAGAAGTTCTGTATGTCATGCTCAATTTCACTATCTGCTAGTTCTTTCAGATCAAAACCAGAACAAAAGCTGCCTCCATTTCCATATATAACAGCAACATAAGAGTTTTTATCATCTTCGAATTCTTCAATTGCCCTCTTGAGAAGTACTGCAGTTTCGAGATTTAAAGAGTTTCGTGTCTTAGGTCTATTTAAGCCTATTGTAGTAATTTGACCTACTCTCTCGACTATTACATCTACAAAGAGACTAGAGAAAAAGTCTGTTTTTAAGCATTTATCATATATAGAGGCTTCTACTTACAATTATTACTGCTGGAAGAAAACATTTTTCTAGGTAATATTTTAGGAAAAACTTTGGTTGTCGCTAATTTCAGTAACATGATTAATAAGTTTGGAAATATCCGACAAGAACCATTCTCATTAGTAAATTTAAAATCCAATTGAATCGTTCAATACGGAAATTCTTCAATTCTTCAATTTTTGAATGAATAAAAAAATATGTAAACATAAATGAACACTACATCACAGAATAAGTTAGGTTAGGGGTTAGGTAAGGTTAGCACAGTATAATGCTACAGCATACCTATGCTGTGATAATGCTAATCAGTAGTTTGTTGTGGTTTCACCACAGAATTTTACTATTATGTTTTTTCACTTTTGTTGGAACCTTTGATGTTTTTTTTCGCAGTTTCATTTTTTAGTAATAAAGCGCATCCATAAATTTTTGCCACGAGAGGATTTGTCAGCGTTTGAGAACTGGATAAAAATGCAATATTTTTGCATACTGCATGCATTTAAAAATATAAGTACAAAATATTACGTTTCCATATAGGTACTTACAATACTTTAATGAAATGATTGAAAATACTGTTGTTTAATTTCCACTAGTTATTTTATTTTCAAGACCGGTTTCGGGTTTTATTCCAATATCAAGTATAAAAACTAATTCATCTAAACTATTCTGTAAAAGTCATCAATTACACAAAAAATAAATTGACCTAGTTGTTGCAAAACTTGTATGTAGCATAAAATTGCATACAGAAAATAACATGGTAAGGAATAATCAACAAATGAATTATTGCTCAATCGTAGTTATGCAATTTTGCAGCTGAAAAATATATTCACACTAGAGCAATTAATAAATGTGTACTATATATGACCTCTCATATTCAAATATTTATAATATTGTCGTTTGGGGAAGTACGGTCAATGCTTGCAGAGTTATCAGTCAAAAAAAGCTAATTCGTCTCATATTTGGCTTGGATTACCGAATGCCAATTCATAATATTGTAATTTGTTGATTGCTTGTTTGTATGGACGATATGTTTAAAGTAATATAGTTATTTGTGTACCTATATATTTCTGTGTAGGTATATAAATTTTATGACTTTTCCCATATCATGTGCATGATTTCAAAGGATGAATAAAGTTTATTATTATTACAATTATGTAATTATTATTACAATTATAGTAGTTTTTGATTTTTTTCTTTTTCATTTATTTTCCAGCTTTTCAACTGTCTGTACATGAACTTGGTAGAAAAATATCTCAATCTCACAAACAACGATAACAACATTGCTCTTTTTTCCAACAGTTTGCATCACCGAAAGTTATGTGAAGAGATGACTGAAATGATTCTCTAATGAATCAATGGACTCAACAAAAGTTGTATGAGGACACTGTAAATTTACAAATATATCCTGGTTAGAATTTGGATATGCTCCAAAATGGAAAAAATTATTTTCGATATTGAGAACATTGTTTTCTTTTCCAAATTCTAGACATACCTATATTACATCTATGCATATCTGAACATTTTGTAATGAAATAATCACAAATATAATATGTGAAAGTATGTTTTTGTCCTGAATCCAATCTTGTATAATCAGTAGGGCCTATACATAATATTAGCCACAATATAACTTCTCTTTATCATGATTCCATAAGGGAAACGTCGTCAGTCTGATAGGCCAAAAGCGATAAATTACATGAAAAATTTTGGACATAAAAATGTTGGGATTATTCAAGCAGTCCAAAGCGCATTCAAAAACTACCTGCTACAGTTCGATCATGCGTGCTGTGATTTATTATCAAAAAGTGTGGATAGTATGACTACTGCCTCTTTTAGCATTATACTTGTGGTGTTTGCGTTAGCGCGACGAGTTTCTCGTAGGTGGATTGACATTGAGGGGAAAAAGCGGTATTATTTTGAATTTATATTTTGAAATAACTTTATTTGCAAGGTAAACACATTGGAGAATTCAGGAAAGAGTTATTTACTATGAACCATATTAGCAATATCACTATTTTTCGGGTTTGAAGGCCGCTAATTTTTGGATTTTTTTCCTGGCGCGAGTGACTAGCTTCCCTAGAGGTTTATACATCTTTAGTGATCTCCGATAACTAGATATTACGGCTGCGTAAGGCGTATTTACTATGAACCATATTAGCAATATCACTATTTTTCGGGTTTGAAGGCCGCTGATTTTTGGATTTTTTTCCTGGCGCGAGTGACTAGCTTCCCTAGAGGTTTATACATCTTTAGTGATCTCCGATAACTAGATATTACGGCTGCGTAAGGCGTATTTATGTTGACTCAGATAGTTTAGTGTGCTAATAATACGTGTACTCTAATAAAGCGTGTTCATGTTGACATAAGTAGTTTTGTGTGCTAATATTACGGAAGCCCGGTCACGACATACAATGTAAATGACACACTGGTACAAATATCTGACGTCATTTGTGAAACGTACAGAGATATTACGTCACTTGTGCAACGTACAGAGATAGGTATTATGTCACATATTGGTATGCGTAATTTGAAATATAAAGAATGGCTGGTTTTCTATTACTTTTTTCTATCCATTTATATATGTCAATAGAATAGTAATTAATTTTGAATCAATGATTGTTAGCAATGCGGTGGTTTCTTAACAATTTAATCGAGAAATATTTCAGAGAGGGTTAAACTCAGCCTGAAATCGTGTTTTTTTGTTCTTTCACCGTAATTTATGCATTTCTGTTAGGCAGTTAGAAAGAATATTGAGAAAAAATGTTGAAAAATCACCCATAGAGGATGTGGTTTTTGGGATGTTAGAAGAAATTGAAGATGGTAGTGGAACCTGCCTAGGATACAAATCGTTATGGAGGAGGTTAAAACTGGTATATGGTATCCAAGTGAAAAGGAATACTGTTTTGGAAATACTAAGGATAGCTGATCCGGAAGGTGTTGAGGCAAGGTCACGTAGGAGGCTAAAGCGGCATAAATACATAGTTCCGGGACCCAATTTTATATGACACATGGATGGTTATGACAAACTGAAGCCATTTGGTTACGCAATCCACGGAGATATAGATGGATTTTCCAGAAAAATATTGTGGCTACGAGTAGCTTCAAGTAATAACAATCCTAGGATAATAGCGTCATATTACTTAGAAACAATTAGATAATTGAAACTTGTGCCAACATTGCTGAGAACCGACAAAGGAACAGAAAATAACATAGTTGGGTCTTTGCAGAACTATTTAAGGTATCACAATGACAATTCAGCAGGATTCAACAGTCATATTGAAGGAAAGAGTACTTCCAATCAAAAAGTTGAATGCTTCTGATCAAAAATGCGACGACAGGGTTTAAGTTATTGGATAAGTTTTTTCAAATATCTCAAAGACAGCATGAACTATGATGATAGTGATCAGCTAATTGTGGAAAGTCACAGATACTGTTTTGGTTCTATTTGGTTCACCAAAAGGTCTAGTTCAGGGTGAACTAGACCTTTTGGTGAGAGAATGGAACACACATACCATAAGGAAACCAAACAATATAGAACTTCCATGTGACAAACCACAAATTATGTATGATATTCCCCAGCTATTTGATACAATTGACTATGGAAAAGATGTGGAAGAAACAGAAACTAATTATTTGGAAGAAACTTTTTCACAAGCCACTTATGTATGATCCACTCATTGAAGAACTATTGAAAATATTATTTTCCAGTATCAATCCACCAAAAACATTGGGAGAAGGAACGCGTTTGTTCTGTGCTCTGTTAGAAACAATAAATTCTTTCTGAAATTATTTTATTACTCTACAATATGAGGATGAGTTTTGTTTCATTTCACAGAAAATATATTGGTTATATGTGCTGGGCTGTACCGATTTATTCAAGAACTATCCACATTTTTCATTCCAACTATTATAATGTAATGTAATGTATCAGTATGAATACAATTTTTCGAGTCTTCCATTGTCTAGAAAACAAAGAAATTTTTCTGCATCTGTCAACTGAATTTACACTTAATAGACAGTATATGTTACTGTTGAAACGTCGTGACTCAAATACATGCAGAGAATTAATTTTCTTTGTTTTCTAGATAATCCAGAAAAATTCTACTTGCACTTACCTATGTATTATTTATGTCGAGACATGGTTGTTAAATAATTTATTTAATATTTGACTAAATAAATATCACATGTCATACAATTGAAAGAAATTAATTTTTAGAAACATATACCATGGACCCTAATGGTGGATCATTCGCTTCTCAACCATAATACATTGGGTTCAAATCCCAGCAAGGTCACCGGTTCCCTGCGTTGCCACCCACGCTAAAAGGTATGCTTGCACAAGCCTCTCAAACACAAAGAAAAAAAGGTATTTTGAACACAAATATATTCAAAACATTATTACAAATGATAATAATAGTGAATAAAACAAATCTCTTATTTACTATCTGTTACTGTTACTTGTTCAGTAACATTAAATTTGAGTAACGGGTAACGAGATGCGGTACACCCCCCATTTTTCTATAGTTTGGAAAATACAGGTTTCAAATTAATAGGTTACTATAGTACTATAATTGTCTTATCTTGACTGGAGGTAACCACACATTTTTTTTCAGTGACAATATAAGCATTTTTTTCATTATCCGAATTAAAGAGGTTTGAATTTATAAGAAAAATTGGAGGTACAGTATAGATTATTCAATCGTTTAAGGTAAGCCATTAAAATCAAACATAAATTATGTCACTAGAAAACAGCATACATAATTTGTGGCTTGTCACTGTCACTGTGTGTCATTGTGATCAGAAGCATTCACTTTTTTGATTGGAAGTATGTACTCTTTCCTTCAATATAATCTTGAATCCTGCTGAATTGTCATTGTGATAATACCTTAAATAGTTCTGCAAAGACCCAACTATGCTATTTTCTGTTCCTTTGTCTTTTCTCAGCAATGTTGGCACAAGTTTCAATTGTCTAATTGTTTCTAAGTAATATGACGCTATTATCCTAGGATTGTTATTACTTGAAGCTACTCGTAGCCACAATATTTTTCTGGAAAATCCATCTATAGCTCCGTGGATTGCGTAACCAAATGGCTTCAGTTTGTCATAACCATCCATGTGTCATATAAAATTGGGTCCCGGAACTATATATTTACGTCGCTTTAGCCTCCTACGTGGCCTTGCCTCAACACCTTCCGGATCAGCTATCCTTAGTATTTCCAAAAAAGTATTCCTTTTCACTTGGTACCATATACCAGTTTCAACCTCCTCCATAACGATTTGAATCCTAGGCAGGTTCCACTACCATCTTCAATTTCTTTTAACACCCGAAAAACCACATCCTCTATGGGTGATTCTTCAACATTTTTTCGTTTCAGATTCAATTTTTTCAATATTCTTTGTAACTGCTTAACAGAAATGCATAAATTATGGTGAAAGAACAAAAAAAAACACGATTTCAGGCTGAATGTAACCCTCTGTGAAATATTTCTTAATTAAATTATTACGAAACCACCGCATTGCTAACAATCATTGATTCAAAATTAATTACTATACTATTAACATATATAAATGAATAGAAAAAAGTAATAGAAAACCAGCCATTCATTATATTTCAAATTACGCATACCAATGTGACATAATACCTATCTCTGTACGTTGCACAAGTGACGTAATATCTCTGTACGTTCCATAAGTGACGTAATATATCTGTACGTTTCACAAGTGACGTCACATATCTGTACCAGTGTATCATTAGCATTGTATGTCGTGACCGGGCTCCTGTATAATACCCTGTACCCTGTAAGGTAAATTGTCAATAACATATTCTCATATTCATAACATAGTCATATGCTGTTTGCTAAGCTTCTCAGAATGGGATTCCATATTCGATTGAAGTTCATAGCTTTTTCTTTTCTTCTTTGACATCTGTCGAGAAAGTTGAGGAAAAAAAAGATTATAGGGAAAAACTGCTTTTAGACTTGTTTGTCAAGCTTTCGGAAATGTTTATTTCCTTCTTCAGGACCCCTGAAAAGATGATTAAAAAAATATTTGTATAAAACGTAACGTTCTGTTTGTTCAGAGTATAACGCGAACTATTTTATAAAATTTCCTGTATACATGTCATATTCGATCACGATCAATTCATTTCGTACTGTCCTAGTGATGCTCTTTACTGATAGGTACCACCAGCCAACAATGAATTCGAACCTAATATTTATCATTTATAATGTTATCTATACCTAGAACATTCTAACTTCTATTAGATGGCACACGACTTCACTCTTCCGAATCCCAAACTCCATTTCTGTCCTCTGAAAATATTTTTGAATATTGTGGATAGTTACCAAGGTGATGTGATATGATGAGCGGCTTTGCCTCTCTCTGCCTCAGCAAATTGCGTTTATGCATTATTTCTTAATTGGATTTGTTATGCTGTTTGGCTATTGCTTTTTCATCACTTATTTGTAGATCATTTAATAGTAGGTTTTATACCTATTTGGAATAGAAACCTTCCTTTACTGGGGTAAGTTTTTTTAGTCCATAGTTCTTTATAATTTCATTTGCTTTAAAAAAAAGGGGAATTGGCCTATTTTCCAATCACGTGAAAATTTATTCATAATTCTCTCGTAGGGTTTTTTCTGGAGAGTACCAACTCATCCACCTGAGAAAAGCTTCCGAATTTGGAATTAGTTATATAATAAATTAGATCGACTCCAGTATCCGAATCATCTTCGTCAGCCGAATCCGAAGTATTTGGTACTAATTGGCAGAATCAGATTTCTACATTTCCTGAGAACTCCTCTACTCTACATTCATTTAACAGTGGAACATTTTTTTTACATAAGAACACTGCTTCAAGTTATCTTCATCTCTTTAGGACATTACCAAGAACTCCAAGTACCATCATCCATCGTGGGAAATTAAGGCCAGATTTTCGATATTTCCTGATTCATTATTTTTTTATTTGATAACCGATAATTAGATGATATTATTATTTTCTCCTCCGTAACTGATAATGAAAAATTATTGGCACTGATAGTAAATAGGCTGCAAGAGTTCTAGATCAAAACCCCATGTATTTTCTTATGGAGGTCCATTCTGGCGTTTTTGGTTCCTTTCAAGGTCACGCGTACGGCAGAGTCCAATCAGAGCGCTCCAAATTGTCACGTGACCCAGATGCATCGTCGCGAGTACACCACACTAAGAACAGAAACACGCGCAATCCGCACTAATCGAAACAATGGCATTAAATACGCTTTTAACCGGACTAGAACCGCGAATAGGTCAAGTAATCCGTGCCTCCAATCCGGCAGATCTACTTGAAGCACACGTTGGAATTAGGAGAGAAATGCAACTATCCTATTTCGAACATCAAACAATCAATCAGACGAAACCCCCAACCAACATCCCAAAGAACCTGTCACACTTGTGGTCAGATAGGTCATATTTCCACAGAATGTCGAATGAGATAACAAAGACCCCAAAATAATTATCAATATTCCAACCAAAAGTTTGCGAGACCAAACCCTCAACTCAATCAAAATTTTTCGAGCCAAACAAACCCTCAACCCAATCAGAATTTTTCAAGACCAAACTTTCAAACTAATTCTCAGCCAAACAGGTCCCAGACTAATCAAAATCAAATTCGACCTCAATCTCAAAACCAATTCAGACCACCCGTAATTCAAAGAAATCCGAATTACCCTGTCAATTTCAACCAAAACCAAAGAGCTCATTTCATGACATATGAATCTCAAGATTATCATACAGGTGATAATCAAGTCTATCATACAGCTGATAGCTATAACTATCAATACAACGATTACTACCCCACCGATAATGACTATGATTATAATACCCTTAGTGATCAATATTACCAATACAACCAAATTGAAACACCCGAAGATCCGTCAATGTACCAGGATTTTCTCTCACTCCCAAATGCGAACCACCCACCTATTCAACCCCAACCGCCAACAACCAATCGATCGACCCTATATCAGAAGTTCAATCCCAAATTCAGTCTCTGAACATACAAGACTTCAACCCGAACGTGAACTTCTCGGAACAAATTTTCATGTAAGCCCTATGCTTTCTATGAACCCGAAGAATATTTACTACATCAAACACTCTTCCAATACTCTCAAAATTCTCATCGATACAGGTGCAGGAATATCCATTTTTAAATCCAAAATATGCGAAAAATTCTGATTACCTGAAAATGTCACTATACAAGGTATCACTGACCAGAAAATTGTTGTGAATGAATCCACTTTAATGAATTTCACACAAAACGATCCACACAAAGTCTTTATCTACGACTTATACATCGACTTTGATGGTTTAATCGGATCTGATTTTCTCAAACATTACAATTTTATAATTGACCTGAAAAATAAACAACCTATAACAAATTCTAAAACGGTCCCTTTGTTCAAAGTTTCAGACATATACTCACTGAAAAACCGAACCAAATTCAAATAGAACCCCGAATGGAGAAAATAGTCAAATTACATTGCAACCTCAAGAACACGGAAGCTATACTGCAAGCTGAAGAAAGAGAAAAAGTAAAAATTCCCAACGCCATAGTCAAAATTGATGAAAACGGTATATTCTACACTACTATCGTAAATACAAACGCGATCCCAAAACAAATTGATCTTTCTGAAATAAAACTCGAACCCCTTCCAACACACGAAACAATTTTCAATATTAACGAATTGTTTTCCCAAAACAAACTCCATATTGACCGTATTCAAGAAATCAAAGCGCAACTTAGAACCGAACATTTGAAAGAAGAGGAACATCAATCAATAACTGACTTATGCCTCCAATTCGAAGATATCTTCTATTTAGAAGGAGATAATCTCACTTTTGCCAATGAAATAAAGCACACCATTGATACTAAGGATACTAGACCCGTCTTTACGAAATCCTACAGGTACCCACAGGTACACAAGGGGAAGTTAAAACAAAAATATGAAAAATGCTAAATCAAGGTATTATTCAGCCATCAATATCCGCATGGTCATCTCCAGTTTGGGTTGTATCCAAAAAGATGGATGCCATCGGTAAACAGAAATGGAGAGTTGTCATCGATTACCGAAAACTCAACGAGCTAACGGTTGACGACAAATACCCATTACCAAACATCTCGGACCTCTTAGACCAGCTTGGTAAATGCGAATATTTCACCACGCTTGATCTCGCCTCCGGATTTCATCAAATTGAAATCGAATCGAGATATTCCCAAAACGGCTTTCTCCGTAGACAATGGCCACTACGAATTTGTTCGTATGCCATTTGGCTTGAAGAATGCTCCAAGTATGTTCCAGAGAGTTATGGCTAATGTTCTTCTAGGTATACAAAATGAAAGATGTCTCGTATACATGGATGACATCATCGTATATTCTCCTACCATCCATGAGCACATAGCAAGGTTGACCGAAGTATTTAAAAGACTTCGAAAAGCAAACCTGAAAATCCAACCGAATAAATGCAAATTCTTGAGAAAAGAAGTCGCCTATCTTGGACATGTCATTACCCAAAACGGAGTCAAACCCAATCCAACGAAAATTGAATGTATCCAAAATTTCCCCGAACCAAAAACCCAAAAAGAAATAAAATCATTTCTAGGTTTAGCTAGATACAATCGACGATTCATTTGCAATTTCGCAAAAATTTCGAAACCATTGACTAAATTACTACAAAAAGATGCCCCCTTTAACTTTGACGCAGAATGCAGACAAGCATTCGAACAACTCAAAAATGCACTCATAACGAGACCCATTCTCATTTACCCTAATTTTGAGGAACCATTTTTGCTCACAACTGACGCCAGTGCGTTTGCAATTGGTGCCATTTTATCGCAAGGTTCCATTGGCAAAGATCTCCCAATAGTATATGCGTCTAGAACACTTTGTAGCGCAGAATCGAAGTACTCCACAATAGAAAGAGAACTTCTCGCCATCGTTTGGGCAGTAAAGCATTTTCGCCCATATCTTTTCGGACGAAAATTCCGATTAATTACTGATCATAGACCCCTCACCTGGCTTTTTTCAATAAAAGACCCAAGTAGTAGGCTGGCACGCCTCGAAGAGTATGATTACCAGATAGAATACAAACCCGGCAAAATCAACAAAAATGCAGATTCACTATCCCGAATCAAACTCAACTACTTCAAAGAATGTGCGAATTTCCAACACAAAATTTCCATACACGTATCTAACGAAAACGAGACCGAAGTAAAAGAGGACCACGAAATGAATGACAACCCTAACGAAAACAACCCTGAAGAAAATAATAACCCCGAAGGAAACGACATCCCCGAAAAGAAAATCCCCGTAGAAACCATTCAAGAAGAATTCAATACATTTGTCAATTTATATAAATCAAAATCTCTAATCGATTATTCTAAAATAGAGTTCGATAATTCTCAACTCCTTGATAAACACCATAAAAACATTGTTAGTTTCTTTTGGCAAAACAAACTAGAACCATTACCCTATGAAATCATCGAAGACTTCTTCGAAGAACACCCAGACTTTTACAATGACAGAATCAACATACTTTCTAACAAATCAGTAAAAGATCGTAAATACTACATCATACCCCTTCCTTTTGACCCTGAATCTGTCATAGAACACATGTTCTATATTATTTATAAATCCCAAAATGAGTTCGATCTAAGAAAAACTTTTTCAATTGAAAACAACCTAGAATTACCCATATTAGAAATATTTTCATTTATTTTTGCCGATAAAGAAATCAAATTAAAAGTCTGTCAAAACCTAACGACAACTCCTGACCCCGATCAAATTCCCATAATCATTGATCAATGTCATTCGGGAAAAACGAATTTACACCGTGGCATTAATGAAACCATCAGAAGAGTAAAACAGAAATACAACTGGCAAGGTCTCATTAAAGACGCCGAAAATTTCGTGAAAAAATGCGAAATTTGTCAGAGTCAAAATTTGCCGAAAAAACCTTAGCACACTTCTCGTCATAACCGAAACACCAAAAACCTCTTTCGAACGTATCAATGTAGACATTTTCGAAATTCCTACAAAATACTACGCTTTGACAATAAGTGACGAATTGACTAAATTCACGCAAGCATACGCCATAGAGGACAAATCCTCGAAATCAGTCGTGAATACCCTTCTTCTTTACTTTCAACACTACGGTACACCACTTAGGATACATTGCGACTACGGTCGAGAATTCACAAGTCGACTTATGAAAGACTTATGCTTTCTGTACGACATTAAACTCACATATTCGAGTGTAAATCACCCACAATCGAACGGATCAATCGAAAGATTCCACCCCACATTTGCTGAAATGATTCGCGCCCATAAAGCCGAAAATCCCGACGAACGTTACCCCATGAACGTTTTACCATATGTAGTTATTTGTTATAATAATACGAGAAACAAAACAACAGGTTTCACACCGTACGAATTAATATTCGGACATACAGCTAGTCGATCCCCAGAAACGCTCTATAACCAAAAAGACCTAATTTCAAAATATATTAGAGATCTTAATAACCGCATGACATATTTCTATAAATTGGCCAGAGCAAAAACCGAAAGACAAAAAGAAAAGTCTAAAATCAGATTTGATAAATGTTTCCGAAAACGTCCCTAAATATAAAGTAGGAGACAAGGTTTATGTGAAAGAGTCACAAATTTCAAATAAACTCGAAAATAAGTTTAATGGACCATTTGAAATATTAGAAATTTATCCCAACTCCGCGATGTTAGTAAATTGGAAAACGCGAAATAAAACTAAAGTAAATTTCGACCGCTTGAAACCTTTTCATGAATAATAATAATCTTTTTCAGGACACTCCTGCTGTCATCAACAGCTAGTGCCCAATACAACTTAGAGTCAATCAATAACTCGATCGGCGTTTTCTTCCATCAAGAAGGAACCCTCAAAATAACAAACGAAACATGGACCTTTTTGGTCTACAAAGATTTATCATCCATCAAAGACGCTCTGTACAATAATGATAAAATCCTAGAAAACCTCATTTATTTTCTCGATAGAGATGAGCCTAGAATACTAGCTTTCAAAACTCAAATAAAAACACATACCAGTCTTTTAAGACAGATATCAGACTCACTACAAGTAAAGTTTAGAGATATCTTCACGGACACAGAAAAATTTGAAAAAAGAACAAAACGTGGTTTAATAAATGGTGTAGGAACTTTTTGGAAAGCAATAACCGGAAACCTTGACGCATCCGATGGAGAATACTTCACGGATTGTATCAATAAAATAAGTCAAGACGAACACCAAATCGAAAATCTATTAAAAAATCAAATATCTGTAACCACTTTGGTGATCAAAAACTTCAATTCAACAATTCAAAAGCTACAAGTTAATGAAGAGACTTTCAATCAAGACATAAAAGAAATCGAAAAATCACTAATGGAAATATCAGACGATATGGCATTTTACGAAGCTCAAATAAAAACTCTAGAGATATGCGAATCACTCATGGAAAGCTACATATTCCTTGAAACTTTTATTGGTGATATTATCAATTCAATCACTTTCGCTGGATTGAAAATAATTCATGGTTCAATCCAATCGAGAGATTTACTTTATTCACTTCAAGAAATATCAGAAACATTAAACAAAAATAATTTACCATTATACGTCAGTATTGGAAATATCCCCCAATACTTAGACCTTGTTGAATTGCAAGCATATCAAAGAGACAATAAAGTAGTACTTGATTTAAATATTCCCCTCGTAGAGCCTGAAACGTACACACTTTTTCATTTATATCCAATACCAATCTTGGATGCTCGAACAGGACTTCACCATATATTATTAACATTTCAAAAATTTATTGCGCGAGACGACGATTCAATGTTGTACACTTCTTTTCAAAATTTAGATAATTGTAAAGTGATCAAAACCGACTTGAAAATTTGTGCAGAAGTGCTTCCATACCCGATAGACAAGACTGATAGTAAATATAA